GTGTTTTCCGTCGGAGTCACATGTTTATTCATGTTTATTTATTTCCGCTGCTTTAGTCGGGGTACGAATATAAACCTTGAGAAAAACAATCCGAGCAGACCTTTTTTGATGTGGCGACATGTTGCCGCTCAGTCCGCAACCAGTTGTTACAAGAGAAACGCAGCTCAAAACTATGCACGTAGTTCTAATGCTGTTCGACCCGCGGCAAGATGGTGCAAATAGTGGCAATCCGTACCGCAACAAGAGCGTGTGCGTGACATGCTATTCTGGGATCGACAGGGCTTCTGGTTCGGCATGCGAACTTGCGGGGGTGTTGCTATTTGGGAGGGAGCTCGCGCGTGAGAGGGAAAACTTGAGGCATAACGCGGGCGTGAGATCTCCTCTCATTGGCAACTCCGCCTCTGTCTTTGGCTCTCGCTCTCTCTCGCTCTCTCTTTCTCTCTCTCTGCCTCTTGCTTCGAACATGTCACGCGTCCAAAGTTCAACTGGATAGCGCCGTCTGTCCACCAAGACTACAATGCACGCCCTGAGCCGAGCTTCGGAATCTGATGGCGGGGCCTCATCGCCTCTCGCGGCGGAGACAAGAGTCACGGACACGGAAAAAAATAAAACCATCTATTCTCGGACATCGCGAGGTCGGGTCAACGACCCCCCCCCAAAAAGTATAAGATCTATTGCCATGAGTTCTAAACAAGAATAGCATTGTTGTTGTCTTCACATCAACAACCACTTCGGTCTCCGCTCAGTACCTTCTAATATACCGAACGAAAACCCATTCGAAAAACTGGTTACGCGTATGCATAAATAAAGTAGTTGAAATAAGATCTTTCGCACCTTGGACTTGTACTTTCCATTGGACAGATCTTGCCCGGTGAGGTTCAGCCCGGCGTAGTCTAGCCCCCCGCCGGAGATGGCAGCCACGGGCGAAGGGTCTACGAGGAGGGGAACGCCCGCCATGAGAACGGCCGCCAGAGTCCAGCTGGCCACGGCAGCACTGTTGCGGCGGAGGGCGGATACACGAAGGGTTGACGCGCGCTTGCCAAGAGTGGGGACGTCGCGGCAGGATCCATCGGCGGCATGGAGTCCTCACGCATGGGTGGCACGAATTATGCAAAGTAGAAGGCGATCTTTCGTGTGTGCGAGTTGCAGCTGGGACGAGAAGCACGATGTCGTGCCTGCCTGTTTGTACACCAGGTACTACTGCTGTGCAAAGCACTTCGCCGACACAACAAAACGATGGCATCGTGTTCGAGCCGATCTTCCCCTTTCCGGTTCAGATACCACAGAAAAGGCGACTCTTAGTGCCGTTTTTGTTCACAAGACAGAAACCCTGCCACCTCTTACCCCAAGCCGGTTCTTTGTTCGCTAGACATAGACATCGCTGTTCGTGTAGCACGGGTGCGCGGTGCGGCCCTCTCTCGTGCCTCCAACGGTTGACTCCGACCGCGTCCCGCCGTCGTCGGGGACGAAATAGTAGCAGGTACGAATGGTGACACTGCCGTCCCGTAGAAAGACACACGAGCAAGGTGGTACTCATGTGAGGGGAGTTGCCGATACAGATTGGTGCAACGCGGCGCAGTTGCGGATGATAAGGCTGAGCACGAGAAGCAAGCCTTTGTAGGCGCTGGCTCTCTTTTCCTATCGCCGCACCCGGCTTTCCCGGGAAAAAACACGCGGCGAGTGATTTGCGAGAGTGATTCACCTTATGTCAGCCACGCCATATGCATTCGCAATGCTTGCGCGGTGCGCTGCGCAACGCACATCAGTCTCTCTTCCAGAACGGTTTTGGTCAAGAGCGTGCAACTTCGCAACCAGTTGCCGCCGCTCAACTTCGCAAGTTGCACACATGCAGCAGACTTTTGGACAGCGGTGCCTGAACTGGACATGCGCGCCACAGCAAACAACGCCAACGCCAGGGTAAAGCGGTGATTCCAACACGCTTTGCACTGCTGCACGAGTTCACACATTCCTTCGATGCAGAGGGCTGGGCGAGATGTGGGAGAGTCGAAGCTTCGCGTCAGTCCCTGCCTGACGGCGGTCGTTGGGTCATGTGCTTATCTGCGTCTGATTCATGTGAACATGCACGACGAGGACGGAAGTCCGCCTCTACAGATTTCCTCACCGAACGAGTCTCCACCAGAGGGTAAGAACGCAAAGAGGCACCACAACAGCTTCATGGTACCCCGAGCTCCAGTCCAACGTTGAGACGGATAAGGACGGTGCAAAGTGTGCTTGGCCTAGTTGCCGCCGCGCAGCACCCTGGGGCATACGCAGATCGGTACTTTAGAAATCTGCGGGGGGGGAGTTGAAGTTGCAATATAAGAAGGGAACCTACGTGACCTTCTCCGACTGCTGCGTGGCTCCTTCACGTCTCAGCTATCTACAATCGAAGCGATTTCCTGCTTTCCGCGCCATTGCAAACAGGGGAGGAAAGTGTTGCCCTCGCAACCCGCCGTGCTGGCTGATGCTGTGATGTCGTTCACTCGCGCACGCGGGTCAAAATGTTCCGTTTCGTCGAAGATATGCGGCCCAACTCCAAAAATCCTCACATGTAGACATGTAGATGGACCGAGAGAGGAGAGAGGAGGGTGGGTACATGTCATCAGGGCGAAACCAAGCGCAAAGAGACCCCACCACAACAGGCGTGAACGCTATGGGGCCAAAAAAAAGTGATAAGAAGGCAACAAAAGGAGTGGATGGCGAGGTTCAAGGCGAGGATCCCGCGCTGTTCTTGCAGAACTATCAGCGGTTCAGCAGGCTGATCGGCATCTCTGCCAACCCGAAAGTCGTCGCACAGCTTCAAAGTGACGAAAACCAGCCCCTTGCACAGGCATGTGTGCGGCGTTGTTCTTTTCTGGTCCGTATTCTACGTAAGGTGTGCTCATGTTGTGGATTTGTTGGATTGAACTGTGGTCTTCATTCACCAAGAAATTGCTCGAGTTTTGGTACAGGCCGTGTGCAGTCTAGTCTACCAAGCTTCCAACGGAACAGGGAATGCAGATTTCACTCTCGAATCGGAATCTTTTTAGTTCGACATAAAGTATCAATTATCCACCAGGCGCCGCTCAATCCTCGCTGCAATGACTTCAACTCATCCTTCGGGCGGGTAAACTTTGATGTGTGTGTTGTTGCAAGGACCTACTATGTGTTACCGCTTCTTGAGGCCTTACCCGGGAGTCAGATACTACCATACAGTCTACGGGTTGATAAACGTAGGCCGTTCTGCCCGTTATTGTTGAAACTCGCAGATCGTTGTGGACGACGAGCATGGGCCTCTCGGACCGGGAGGGACCCGAGCGCTCATGACGGCCATCATGGGTACTGGACAGGTACACGTACAGCGGAGCTGCAGGCTTACAGTAAGACTAATAGTCTATAATCCAAACTGTGAACTAGTAGTGCTCTACGAGGGAGACGTTACGTCATCGTGCTCTGGATTTTACCGCGTCGGCACACCACGTGCCCGCGGCTTCCGATGATCACCTCGGTGCCCCGCTCAGACCCCAATAGTGAGACAGCGTAGACTACGCTGCAGGGGCTATTGCTTGCCCCTCAACTTCACACGAACATGAGCCGTCACCGAATTAAAAAAAAAAACTATTATGTATATAATACGCTGTTCGCGAATAGTTGCATATTGTCTTGACCTGTTTCAGTGACTACTGGGGTACAAGTCCTTTGGCTGCAAACTATGAAGGAAAATGTTCAAAAAAATCCGCTGGTTGACTCCGACGTAGAAACACGGATGATTCACGTATCGGACACGGAGGCCTACAAGACATCCATATTTTTCGTGTTTCCTCCGCTAGGACATGCGCGGCGGGCCGTATCGCCTCATCAAGAGCCTGCGGCTGTGGCGCGCCCACTGCGGCGACGAGGGGGCGAGGAGCATCGCGGAGGTGCTGCGACTTGGAGGTGCCGAGGTGAAGCTGGAGTACGTGGAGCTCTTCGACGACAATATCGGCCCGACGGGGTAAGGGGGACGGCGTGGGCATCAAGCCCGTTGCTGCTGCGCGAGGTAGAGATCGTTGCTCGTGGAGATACGGTCGCCCACGGCTATGCGATGTTTTTGAGCACGTTCTGTAGATCCTCGATGCCATCAGGTTTTCGTCAAACTTCGTCAGTTGTCGGGTCTTTCGATCGACCGAGTACTTGAACTAAACAAAACACCCTGGGGTAAGAAAATGTGGTATCGGAGGAAGTGCCGCATGGACGTATGCCCTTACTCACGACATGCTGTCCCATCCGGATACACGAACTCAGTGCTTTCCGTTGTTTATGTCCTCTTGAAAGTGACGAGCATGCTACCGAAAATTTAAACGGACCACCATCATTGATTGTGCAAACTATCGACATCCACGCAACGCAGCGCTACCGCGTTGGGACAGTCCCTGAGCATCGGGTGCAACAAGTCCCTTCTATCCCTCAAGCTGGACTACAATCCGTCTCTAGGGAGCGAGGGCACCGCCGCGCTATGCCGGGGGCTGCGCACGAATTCGTCGCTCAAGCAGCTGCACCTCCCGTACTGCGACCTCGGATCAGACGCCGGGGCCCCCCTCGGCGAGATGCTGTCGTACACGAAGCTGCAGCTCGCCGTACTTAACCTCCAGGTATATTTATTGCCAATCATATCTTAAAGCGCATTCTTTTTCTGTTTTTTGGGGGGTTGTTTTTGTTGTTCAGATTTGCTGTCTCGGTCTCTTCCGTATAGTACTCGCATTGGGTGTCCATTGGACGTAACTTTCAGATTTTCTGTCTTGGTCGCTTCCATTTTGTGCTCGGTTCGCGTTTCCATCGTGTGGTTGTACCGTTCGATATCCAACGCTTCCGTCCTTGCCTCTTGGGATGTCAGCTCCCTGGCACGTTCCGAGCGCTCCCAAGGAACCCCAAGGATGCAGTGAGTAACAGACACCTCTACCGTGTTGCTGTAGGAAGCATGTTATGATTAGTCAACCTTGACGGCGTGTTACGTTGTTTCGAGCAACGAACGTGTTGCCCGCCGTTCACGCAAGGGCGCTACATACGCTGAACGACGCAGACACCACTTCAGGTTCGTACATGGTGAAAAACGAGAGCAAAATGACACACATGTGATAAACGTCTCTTCCACAGTCCCCCCATCTATCTACTGCTCCTTCTGCACCCCCGCAAACGCCGCTGCTCCACCGCTTGGGGTTCCTCCGCCAGGGCAACCGGCTAGAAGCGGAGGGGACCAAGGCCCTGTCGCCGGGGCTCGCCCGCAACCGGTCGCTGGTGTACCTGTCGCTGGCCGACAACGGCATCGGGTCGGGTGACGCTGACGTCGACGCCCTGGAGGACTTCCGAGACGCCATGATGAGTTGCTCCACCCTCACTCATGTGGACCTCCTGTACAACCGCATCGGGGAGCGAGGAGCTCGGGTGAGAGAGGAAGCAGGCCGTTGAGGGGGGGGGAGGTATGCTCCGGCCTGTTGTTCTGTTATTCTTCTTCATCATTGCCAGTAAATTCCATACTAAAGTCGTGGGATCACCTCGGCCACGATTTCACTGCCCTAGATTCCGACCCCCAGCATTGGCGCACTGCCCCGCCGCGCTTGGCTGATAACGCGCACACTGCAAAATAGTCATGTTCGTTGCCGGTGTGTTGTGCCGAAACGGACGAAAAAAGGTGATGCTCCCGGCGCTGGAGCAGAACAGGATCAAGCACTTCTTGGTGGACGCGACGCTGCCCACCCCTCTGTTTGACGCCCTCCACCGCAGGGATTCGGGAGGAGGGGGCAAGAAGGGTAAGAAGGGGGGCAAGGGGAAAAAGAAAAAATAGATTGACCTGACGGCGAGATGTAAATATTTTCGGAGGCAGACAAGAAGGAAAGGATACGGGGGTGGAGCGGAGCTGGGTGTTTGCGGTGGGGTTGTTGTTGTCGTCAAGTATTGTTTGGTACAGTCGACCGCTTTAAGGACGCTCGTGTTAAGGACACTTCCCGCTTAAAGGAAACTTGTTTTGCTGAGCACCGGGGGCCCGGCAGAATGTACGATATTGGGGTACCCCGATTTTCTGCCGCGTACCCTCTTTTTGTGTGTCCTACGGGCCTGCGGGCCGCTCTTTGCACGAACCTCGCACCACAGTGAGTGCAGAAGTAGCGACGCACAGACAGCAGAAGTAGCGAGCGGTCTGCTGCTGCAGCTGCAACTGGGTGTTGGTATGGATCTACCAGCGGTCCATCTGATGCCGCTAAAAAAAGAGTCGTGCATAACCTCGTCCCTCACCGACGGCGAGGTTACCTCACGCTTGGAGGACGTTCGATCCTACAGATAGCGCCCGCAGTAAAGAAACGTCAAAATCGGTTCGAGTCTCACCATCCCTTCTTTTGGGTCGAAGTACCGGCCTAAGTCGTCCATTTCGTAAATGACATTTCTTCTTCCCTCCCGATTCTCTTATTCCTTAGACTACAACAAGTACTTCGTATTTTCATTTTTCTGTCTTTTGATCTCTGAGGACAATCCACATCAAGCCCTCACGAGAGGTGGTGGAGAGTGCCATCAAACCCGTACAACAGCGGAGAGCATATGGTTGTCCGCGATGTGTGGCAGTACTACAGTACAGCACTCACTGTGA